TATGGTAATAATATATTGTATTTACATATGACTTGCAAGTCACTCTGAGTGCCCTTCGGGGTGAGAAGGGCGGCATATAAAGGTCATAAATACATACATAAATAAATACTGCTGCTGGTAGAGATTGCGTTCTGTAAGATGAAGTCTTTGGAGTGAGCTAAACAGGAGGGAAATCTGCTCTTGTTTTTCCTCTCTATTTTGTTCATAGTTCAATCCTTTATTTTAAAAAGAAGTATTTAAAAAGATAAAAAGGAGAGTTCAATGTGGTCATGCTCCTTGGGCAGCTCCTTTCCCGCCTGGCAGAAAAAGGGTCGGGCTGGATGGCCTTTGGGGTTCCCTTCCTGGATGGCTTTTGGGGTTCCTATCCAACTCTGTGGTACCATGGACCACAGGGCGTATAAGGGGCGTGGGGAGGGGCAATGATTGTGATCATTGGATGGTTCCTTTCTCACCTGGGACAAAAGGGTCGGAGTAGATGGCCTTTAGGGTTCCCTTCCAACTCTGCTTCTATGGAGACAGTACAAGGGGTGCGCGGGTGGGAGTGGGGTGGGGGGCTCCCATCTCTCCTGGAGGAGTGGTGGAAGCCCTAGAGAAGGAGAGTTCATTGTGCTCATGATCCTTGGGTGGCTCCTTTCCCGCCTGGCAGAAAAAGGGTCAGGCTGGATGGCCTTTGGGGTTCCCTTCCTGGGTGACTTTTGGGGTTCCCCTCCAACTCTGTGCTGCTATAGAGGCAGTCTAAGGGGCGTGGGGAGGGGGCTACCATCTCTCCAAGGAGGAGATGTAATTGTGATTATGCTCCTTGAGTGACTTCTTTCCCGCTGGCAGAAAAAGGGTCAGGCTAGATGGCCTTTGGGGTTCCCTTCCTGGGTGGCTTTTAGGGTTCCCTTTCAACTGTGCTGCTATGGAGACAGCCTAAGGGGCGTGAGGAGGGGGCTACCATCTCTCCAAGGAGGAGATGTTATGATTATGATCCCTGAATGGTTCCATTCCCACCTGGGAGAAAAAGGGCCAGGTTAGATGACTTTAGGGTTGCTTTCCAACTCTGCTTCTATGGAAACACTAAAAGGGGCAAGCTTGTGGGGAGGGGGGCTACAATCTCCCTTAGGGGAGTGGTCGCAGCCTTAGAGAAGAAAGAGGAGGGAGTTCATTGTGATCATGCTCCTTGGGTGGCTCCTTTCCCACCTGGCAGAAAAAGGGTCAGGCTGGATGGCCTTTGGGGTTCCTTTCCTGGGTGGCTTTTAGGGTTCCCAACCAACTCTGTGGTGCTATGGAGACAGTCTAAGGGGCGTGGGGAGGGGGCTTCCATCTCTCCAAGGAAGAGATGTCATTGTGTGGCTCCTTTCCCGCCTGGCAGAAAAAGGGTCGGGCTAGATGGCCTTTGGGGTTCCCTTCCTGAGTAGCTTTTAGGGTTCCCATCCAACTCTGTGGGGCTATGGAGACAGCCTAAGGGGCGTGAGGAGGGGGCTACCATCTCTCCAAGGAGGAGATGTTATGATTATGATCCCTGAATGGTTCCATTCCCACCTAGGAGAAAAAGGGCCAGGCTAGATTACCTTTGGGGTTCCCTTCCTGGGTGGCTTTTAGGGTCCCCATCCAACTCTGTGATGCTAGGGAGACAGTCTAAGGGGCGTGGGGAGGGGGCTTCCATCTCTCCAAGGAAGAGATGTCATTGTGTGGCTCCTTTCCCGCCTGGCAGAAAAAGGGTCGAGCTAGATGGCCTTTGGGGTTCCCTTCCTGGGGGGCTTTTAGGGTTCCCCTCCAACTCTGTGGTGCTAGGGAGACAGCCTAAGGGGCGTGGGGAGGGGGCTACCATCTCTCCAAGGAAGAGATGTCATTGTGTGGCTCCTTTCCTTGGATGGCTCCTTTCCCGCCTGGTAGAAAAAGGGTCGGGCTAGATGGCCTTTGGGGTTCCCTTCCAACCCTGCTTCTATGGAGACAATAAAAGGGGCGTGCGGGTGGGAGTGGAGTGGGGGGCTACCATCTCTCCTGGGGGAGTGATGGAAGTCCTGCAGAAGAAGAAGAGTTCATTGTGATCCATGATCCTTGGGTGGCTCCTTTCCAAGCGAGCAGAAAAAGGGTCGGGCTAGATGACCTTTGGGGTTCCCTTCCAACTCTGCTTCTATGGAAACAGTAAAAGGGGCAAGCTTGGGGAGGGGGTACCATCTCTCCTGGGGGAGTGGTCGCAACCTTAGAGAAGAAAGAGGAGAGAAATTCATTGTGATCATGAGCCTTGGGGGGCTCCTTTCCCGCCTGGCAGAAAAAGGGTCAGGCTAGATGGCCTTTGGGGTTCCCTTCCTGGGGGGCTTTTAGGGTTCCCATCCAACTCTGTGGGGCTATGGAGGCAGTCTAAGGGGCGTGGGGAGGGGGCTTCCATCTCTCCAAGGAAGAGATGTCATTGTGTGGCTCCTTTCCCGCCTGGCAGAAAAAGGGTCAGGCTGGATGACCTTTGGGGTTCCCTTCCTGGGTGACTTTTGGGGTTCCCCTCCAACTCTGTGCTGCTATAGAGGCAGTCTAAGGGGCGTGGGGAGGGGGCTACCATCTCTCCAAGGAGGAGATGTAATTGTGATTATGCTCCTTGAGTGACTTCTTTCCCGTCTGGCAGAAAAAGGGTCAGGCTAGATGGCCTTTGGGGTTCCCTTCCTGGGTGGCTTTTAGGGTTCCCTTTCAACTGTGCTGCTATGGAGACAGCCTAAGGGGCGTGAGGAGGGGGCTACCATCTCTCCAAGGAGGAGATGTTATGATTATGATCCCTGAATGGTTCCATTCCCACCTAGGAGAAAAAGGGCCAGGCTAGATTACCTTTGGGGTTCCCTTCCTGGGTGGCTTTTAGGGTCCCCATCCAACTCTGTGATGCTAGGGAGACAGTCTAAGGGGCGTGGGGAGGGGGCTTCCATCTCTCCAAGGAAGAGATGTCATTGTGTGGCTCCTTTCCCGCCTGGCAGAAAAAGGGTCGGGCTAGATGGCCTTTGGGGTTCCCTTCCTGAGTAGGCTTTTAGGGTCCCCATCCAACTCTGTGATGCTAGGGAGACAGTCTAAGGGGCGTGGGGAGGGGGCTTCCATCTCTCCAAGGAAGAGATGTCATTGTGTGGCTCCTTTCCCGCCTGGCAGAAAAGGGGTCGGGCTAGATGGCCTTTGGGGTTCCCTTCCTGAGTAGCTTTTAGGGTTCCCATCCAACTCTGTGGGGCTATGGAGACAGTCTAAGGGGCGTGGGGAGGGGGCTTCCATCTCTCCAAGGAAGAGATGTCATTGTGTGGCTCCTTTCCCGCCTGGCAGAAAAGGGGTCGGGCTAGATGGCCTTTGGGGTTCCCTTCCTGAGTAGCTTTTAGGGTTCCCATCCAACTCTGTGGGGCTATGGAGGCAGTCTAAGGGGCGTGGGGAGGGGGCTTCCATCTCTCCAAGGAAGAGATGTCATTGTGTGGCTCCTTTCCCGCCTGGCAGAAAAGGGGTCGGGCTAGATGGCCTTTGGGGTTCCCTTCCTGAGTAGCTTTTAGGGTTCCCATCCAACTCTGTGGTGCTATGGAGGCAGTCTAAGGGGCGTGGGGAGGGGGCTACCATCTCTCCAAGGAGGAGATGTAATTGTGATTATGCTCCTTGAGTGACTTCTTTCCCGTCTGGCAGAAAAAGGGTCAGGCTAGATGGCCTTTGGGGTTCCCTTCCTGGGTGGCTTTTAGGGTTCCCTTTCAACTGTGCTGCTATGGAGACAGCCTAAGGGGCGTGAGGAGGGGGCTACCATCTCTCCAAGGAGGAGATGTTATGATTATGATCCCTGAATGGTTCCATTCCCACCTAGGAGAAAAAGGGCCAGGCTAGATTACCTTTGGGGTTCCCTTCCTGGGTGGCTTTTAGGGTCCCCATCCAACTCTGTGGTGCTATGGAGGCAGTCTAAGGGGCGTGGGGAGGGGGCTTCCATCTCTCCAAGGAAGAGATGTCATTGTGTGGCTCCTTTCCCGCCTGGCAGAAAAAGGGTCGGGCTAGATGGCCTTTGGGGTTCCCTTCCTGAGTAGGCTTTTAGGGTCCCCATCCAACTCTGTGATGCTAGGGAGACAGTCTAAGGGGCGTGGGGAGGGGGCTTCCATCTCTCCAAGGAAGAGATGTCATTGTGTGGCTCCTTTCCCGCCTGGCAGAAAAGGGGTCGGGCTAGATGGCCTTTGGGGTTCCCTTCCTGAGTAGCTTTTAGGGTTCCCATCCAACTCTGTGGTGCTATGGAGACAGTCTAAGGGGCGTGGGGAGGGGGCTTCCATCTCTCCAAGGAAGAGATGTCATTGTGTGGCTCCTTTCCCGCCTGGCAGAAAAGGGGTCGGGCTAGATGGCCTTTGGGGTTCCCTTCCTGAGTAGCTTTTAGGGTTCCCATCCAACTCTGTGGGGCTAGGGAGGCAGTCTAAGGGGCGTGGGGAGGGGGCTACCATCTCTCCAAGGAAGAGATGTCATTGTGTGGCTCCTTTCCCGCCTGGATGGCTCCTTTCCCGCCTGGTAGATAAAGGGTCGGGCTAGATGGCCTTTGGGGTTCCCTTCCAACCCTGCTTCTATGGAGACAATAAAAGGGGCGCGCTTGGGGGGTGGGTGGGCTACCATCTCTCCTGGGGGAGTGGTCGCAACCTTAGAGAAGAAAGAGGAGAGAGTTCATTGTGATCATGAGCATTGGTGGGCTCCTTTCCCGCCTGGCCGAAAGAGGGTCAGGCTGGATGGCCTTTGGGGTCCCCATCCAACTCTGTGGTGCCATGGAGACAGTAAGAGTGTCCTTGGGAGGGGGAGAGACCCTTCACCCCACTCCTCCCTCCAGTCTGCAAGCTGGATCTCCTCCGTTGGGAGGCGGAAAAGCCGGCAAGTTTAAATAGAGGGAAGTAAGGGGTCTGTGAGACCCCCGCCCCAAAATTGGGGGGTCTCAAAAGGGGAAGCCACAGGGGGGAGTCAAAGGGGAGGGGGTGAGGGGAACCTCAATGGAGGGGCCTGAGGGAGGGAGTCCATAAGGGGAGGGGTCCCTTCGCCCGCCGTTGGCCCACCTGAGTGGGGGTCTTCCTTCTCCTCTTCTTCCCTCGAAGACCCCCCGGAGTCTGCGTCGGAGAAGGCGAGGAAGGGGGGGCTGGGCCCGAGGGAGAGGGCCAGCAGCACCAAGAGCAGCCCCGCGCCCAGCATCGCCCTCCACGCCTTCCTTGCACCTGAGCCAGGTACACAGGCAGGCAGCGGGGAGGGAGGGAGGGAGGGGGGGCGGGGCCAGGGAATGCCCCGCCCAGCCTAGGCAGGGACCTCCAGAGGCCATCCAGCCCAGCCCCCTCCGGGCACAGTCCAGCCCTCCAGAGCAGGAGGCTCCACCGGGATCCCAGGCTCTTTAATGCCCCAATCGAATTGGAAGGGACCCCCAGAGGCCACCCAATCCAGCCCCCTTCCTGGCATAAAGGCACAACCAAAGACCTCTGGACAGAGGGCCAACCAACTCCTTCTCCCCCTGCCAAAAAAAAAGGCGAGACCACCAGGCTCTCTCTGATTTTTCTCTCTACAAAAGAGGCTCAAAAATATACAAACATTAAAGGGCAGGGAACACACCATCAAAGCCCTCCTGACAGATGGTCATCCAGCCTTGTTGAAACCCTCCCCTCAAAAAGGAGACACCTGTAGACGTCACTATCGGAAAGGAGATTCCACTTGAACATTAGGAAGAACTTCCTGACTGTGAGAGCTGTTCAGCAGTGGAACTCTCTGCCCCGGAGTGAGGTGGAGGCTCCTTCTATGGAGGCTTTGAAAGAGAGGCTGGATGACCATCTATTGGGGGGTGCTTTGAACACAATTGTCCTGCTTCTTGGCAGAATGGGGTTGGACTGGATGGCTCACGAGGTCTCTTCCAACTCTAGGATTCTATGAGGCTGGATGGCCATCTGTCGGGGAGGCTTTGAACGTGATTGTCCTGCTTCTTGGCAGAATGGGGTTGGACTGGATGGCCCATGAGGTCTCTTCCAACTCTAGGATTCTATGAGGCTGGATGGCCATCTGTCGGGGAGGCTTTGAACACGATTGTCCTGCTTCTTGGCAGAATGGGGTTGGACTGGATGGCCCACAGGTCTCTTCCAACTCTAGGATTCTATGAGGCTGGATGGCCATCTGTCGGGGAGGCTTTGAACGTGATTGTCCTGCTTCTTGGCAGAATGGGGTTGGACTGGATGGCTCACGAGGTCTCTTCCAACTCTAGGATTCTATAAGGCTGGATGGCCATCTGTCGGGGAGGCTTTGAACACGATTGTCCTGCTTCTTGGCAGAATGGGGTTGGACTGGATGGCCCATGAGGTCTCTTCCAACTCTAGGATTCTATGAGGCTGGATGGCCATCTGTCGGGGAGGCTTTGAACGTGATTGTCCTGCTTCTTGGCAGAATGGGGTTGGACTGGATGGCTCACGAGGTCTCTTCCAACTCTAGGATTCTATAAGGCTGGATGGCCATCTGTTGGGGAGGCTTTGAACACGATTGTCCTGCTTCTTGGCAGAATGGGGTTGGACTGGATGGCCCATGAGGTCTCTTCCAACTCTAGGATTCTATGAGGCTGGATGGCCATCTGTCGGGGAGGCTTTGAACGTGATTGTCCTGCTTCTTGGCAGAATGGGGTTGGACTGGATGGCCCATGAGGTCTCTTCCAACTCTAGGATTCTATGAGGCTGGATGGCCATCTGTCGGGGAGGCTTTGAACGTGATTGTCCTGCTTCTTGGCAGAATGGGGTTGGACTGGATGGCCCATGAGGTCTCTTCCAACTCTAGGATTCTATGAGGCTGGATGGCCATCTGTCGGGGAGGCTTTGAACATGATTGTCCTGCTTCTTGGCAGAATGGGGTTGGACTGGATGGCCCACGAGGTCTCTTCCAACTCTAGGATTCTATGAGGCTGGATGGCCATCTGTCGGGGAGGCTTTGAACGATTGTCCTGCTTCTTGGCAGAATGGGGTTGGACTGGATGGCTCACGAGGTCTCTTCCAACTCTAGGATTCTATAAGGCTGGATGGCCATCTGTCGGGGAGGCTTTGAACACGATTGTCCTGCTTCTTGGCAGAATGGGGTTGGACTGGATGGCTCACGAGGTCTCTTCCAACTCTAGGATTCTATAAGGCTGGATGGCCATCTGTTGGGGACACTTTGAACACGATTGTCCTGCTTCTTGGCAGAATGGGGTTGGACTGGATGGCTCACGAGGTCTCTTCCAACTCTAGGATTCTATGACGCTGGATGGCCATCTGTCGGGGAGGCTTTGAACACGATTGTCCTGCTTCTTGGCAGAATGGGGTTGGACTGGATGGCCCATGAGGTCTCTTCCAACTCTAGGATTCTATGAATCTCAAACACTATATTTATATTTAAGGGCACTGCAAAGGCCATCCAACCCAACTCCCTTTCACCAAACAGGAAGACACAACCCAAGCCCTCCCGACAGAGGGTCATCCACAGAAGGAGAGGCCACCAGACCGTAGGGACTGGGAAAAAGAGAAATGAAGAAATATGGGAAATCATTAAGTCAGCAAAAGGTTTAGGCAGAGAGTGGAGCGTGAGAGAGCCTGAGGTGGAGATAGTCAAAACAACAAAGGGGAGAAAGTTCAAAAGGAGCTTGATGACCTGAGAAATCGTTGTTGTCGAATTGCGGTTGTAAAATGCTGATAAGGAGAGAAGCAGAAAAGAACAAAGGAGAAGAAACGTGTGAATGAAAAAGTCTGAAAACTTTCGACTATACAACCCACACTCTGAGCTGTGATGTCAGAGTGTGGCACTTCTTCCTTGTTGACCCAACATAAAAACATGTCCAAATAAACCTATTACATTTGATCACCTCGCCTCATAGTGTCTAATTTAATAGAGGTACTAGGGCAGGAACGGGCCAACTTTGGTCCTCCAGGTGTTTTGGACTTCAACTCCCACCATTCCTAACAGCCTACCGGCTGTTAGGAATGTGGGAGTTGAAGTCCAAAACACCTGGAGGACCAAAGTTGGCCCATGCTGCTCTATAAGTTTAAATGGACACAACAGTGTGTCCCATCATCATCACCATCATCATCATCACCATCCTCATATTCACCACCACCACCACCATCACCATCTCATTATCATCACCATCATCAACACCATCACCATCATCACCATCAACATCATTATCATCACCACCACCAAAATCATTATCATCACCACCACCATCATCGTCATCACCTCCATCATCATCATCACCACTATCATCATCACCACCACCATCATCATCAACACCACCACCATCACCACCATCAACATCACTACTATCATAATCATCACCACCACGATCATTATCATCACCACCACCATCATCATCACCAAAACTACCATCATCATCACCACCACCACCATCATCACCAACATCCATCATCATCACCCACCACCACCACCACCATCATCATCACCATCAACATCACCATCATCATCACCATCTCATCATCATCATCATCATCATCATCATCATCATCATCATCAGTGATCCCTCGCATCTGAGTATGATGGCCTTCCAAGCGTAGGTAGGGTCTGGGCGGTGAGTCCGTAGGTGATTGTGGAGCTCTATTCTTGACCCACATACTCTTCCGCAGTGCAGACATCAGTTTCCAGGTGAAAAGCGGTCCCAGTCAGGCTTGGCATGAGGCACTTTCTTTCTCTTGACATGTCTCCCCCTTCTGCCCCCCATTCATGCCTCTTCGAATTCTACAGCACTGCTGGTCACAGCTGACCTCCAGCTGGAGTGCTCAAGGGCCAGGGCTTCCCAGTTCTCAGTGTCTATGCCAGAGTTTTTAAGGTTGGCTTTGAGCCCATCTTTAAATCTCTTTTCCTGTCCACCAACATTCCGTTTTCCGTTCTTGAGTTCGGAGTAGAGCAACTGCTTTGGGAGACGGTGGTCGGGCATCTGGACAACGTGGCTGGTCCAGCGGAGTTGATGGCGGAGGACCATCGCTTCAATGCTGGTGGTCTTTGCTTCTTCCAGCACGCTGACATTTCCCCGCCTGTCTTCCCAAGAGATTTGCAGGATTTTCCGGAGGCAGTGCTGATGGAATCATTCCAGGAGTTGACGTCTGTAGACAGTCCACGTTTCTCAGGCATATAGCAGGGTTGGGAGGACAATAGCTTTATAAACAAGCACCTTGGTATCCCTATGCATGTCCCAGTCCTCAAACACTCTCTGCTTCATTTGGAAAAATGCTGCACTCGCAGAGCTCAGGCGGTGTTGTATTTCATTGTCAATGTTGACGTCTGGAGGCAGTCCACGTCTCGCAGGCGTATAGCAGGGTTGGGAGGATAATAGCTTTATAAACAAGCACCTTGGTCTCCCTACGGATGTCCTGGTCCWCAAACACTCTGTGCTTCATTTGGGAAGATGCTGCACTCGCAGAGCTCAGGCGGTGTTGTATTTCAGTGTCAAATGTTGACATCTGTACACAGYCCACGTTTCACAGGCGTAGAGCAGGGTTGGGAGGACAATAGCTTTATAAACAAGCCCCTTGGTCTCCCTACGKRTGTCCCGGTCCTCAAACACTCTCTGCTTCATTCGGAAGAATGCTGCGCTTGCAGAGCTCAGGCGGTGTTGAATTTCAGTGTCGATGTTGACTTTGGTGGAGAGGTGGTTGCCAAGGGAGCGGAATTGGTCAACATTTTCTAATGTTACACCATTAACCCTGTTTTGTGGCACTGGAGAGGGATTGGCTGGTGACTTTTGCTGAAAGAGCACTTTCATTATCTTGATGTTCAGTGAAAGGCCAAGCTTTTTTGTATGCTTCGGCAACGTAGTTTAGAGTGGCTCATACGTCTTCTTCTGAATGTGCACAGACTACGTTATCATCAGTATACTGGAGTTCTATAACAGATAAGTGAAGTGAAGTGAACTGATATTGTTGTGACCTTAAAAACTCTGGCATAGACACTGAGAACTGGGAAGCCCTGGCCCTTGAGTGCTCCAGCTGGAGGTCAGCTGTGACCAGCAGTGCTGTAGATTTGAAGAGGCACGAATAGAGGGCGAAAGGGAGAAACGTTCCAAGAGGAAGGTGCATCAAGCCAACCCCAACCGAGACCACCTTCCACCTGGAAACCGATGCCCTCATTGCGGGAGGAGATGCAGGTCAAGAATAGGGCTCCACAGCCACCTACGGACCCACCGCCCGGACACTACACTTGG